CCCGAGGGCCATCTTCACACACATACAAATTTCTCAGGTTCTGGCTACCGTACAACATGCTAGGGCGGGGCCGATACATAAAATACCGCCCGCCCAGCCTCAGCCTTGGCTCACAGGCTCGCAAGACTGCTGCTGCCCGGGCATACATTTTTATTTTAGAGACCAAAGTTAGCATCACAAGTTCCAATTCTTCCAGACCCAGACATTTTTGCATTTGATACGTGGCAATGTCACTACCCCCGATCGCGAGGGAGTTGAACTCGTTGCACGCCCCGCCCCACACCGCGGGGCAAACGCGGCCCTTCAGCTGACACTGATCTAAGGAGTGCTCCTGCCAGTGACTCCCACTTTCCTCTGTACAGCCAGCAGAAAAAAGATCGCACCAGCCCTCCGTTCGGTCTGTTCGTGTGGTGAAGGTCGTGCAGCCGTCCGTCATGGCGCACAGGTACCGGCACTCTTCCTTGGAGTAAACTCGGTCCGAGTAGAAACCAACCCTTTTGTCCCGCCACTCTTTACAACCTTTCGCGACTCCGGGGCAATTTGCGTCGCTGTCGAGCAAGGGGGTCTCTTGTTGGTCGATGCACTGTGCCTCGTTACGCTGCAGTGTGTAGTAGGGGTAGTCGTGATTGCCGGCCTGCAACGCCGAGGTCGTCGCCAGCGTTGGGTCAACTTGGCATCCAGCCCGGTAAAAAATGCAGTTGATATTATGTGTCGCCATCGGAACAATCCCGAACGCAACGCACCCGGAAATGGCCCGACACTGAGTGTCACAGGACCGTAACGTCTCGGTAGCGGTGTTCGTCCGCGAAATCTCATAGGTGGCACTGCTTTCGTCGCACCCGCCACCCCGCTCCGGTAAACACAACGGGTTGAAAAAGGGCTCCAGGGAAAAAGCAGCATGAACCAGAGGGAGGTGAAAGTAGGAGGAGCTATTTTTCTTTTCGACTAAAAACAAAAAGCAGCGGAAGAACAAGATGAACAACAAACACGGAGCGAGAAGAGAGTAGGAAAAATGAAACGCATGTAGTTTATTTCGCTTTGATATTTTCGCAGTTGTCCCGGCGGCACTTCCCGTCCTCGTCGTTCTCGTTGCCCGGCACCTAAGCAACAAGCGAACATGTGTTCTTGACGATGAAACATTCAACATCGTCAACATGATCGTATTCTGCTCGTGCTGACGGTGCAGCTACATCCTTTTCACAGAGGACTACTTTCACGAACGACTACTCGAGGAATTAGTATCTGCGAAAGCAATTCGAATTCTGCTTCTAAACAAACTTTGTTTAACAAAGCCTCTACGAGAAAGCAAATAAACACTTTTTCTACGCGTACCTAGGTAGTTGGTGCGAAGTAGCACTTTGTTTCCCCGAAGAACCACTTCAAAAATAGAATCTCCACGAAAAAGAAAGAGCTCCTGCATTCATGATCTTCACATCGGCAATTTGGATTTACGTCGGGGAAGTGTATGAATATCAAACGAATGAACTACGACGCAACAAAAAAAGCCGCACAGAAGTGTGCAAACTTTTGAGATTTGGAGTAATGGAAAGCGCCTCGTCGACCGAAAGCCGCCGAGGCAGCAGGGAAAAATACCGAAAGAAATCATGATCAACCATATTCCGGTTATTAAGCGGTAATGAAGTAGCGATGGGAAAAGCAAAAGTCATGCAGAAGCAACTTCAACACAGCACCATCGCATGATGGGGTTGCAGCCCCAAGAATCCTGCTTCTTCCTGTTTCATAGACCAGACTGAAAACGCCGGTATTAAGCAGTTCTCCCCAACATACTTCATGAAAAAAAAAGAAGGTCCTCAACGTCTACTGCTCGCCCCTAGGGCGCGTCATGGAGTTTTTCGGTCTTTTGGACGGCTTGCAAGCCACTGAAAGAAGTTCCAGTTCGCATTACATACATGATAGTTCTTTTCTTTGCACGATAATTGTCTTCACGTATTTTCAAGGTGGTTTTTCCAGCTACGGTTCGATTTTCGATTCGATTTCTACTTGAAACAAAATTACAGCTCAACTTCAAGGTGAAAGTAGGTACTTAAAATGAAAAAGTGATTCTGTTCTTGTTGGATGTTACGCTAACGGTTACGGAAAAATCGCAAACTCCTACTGCTGGGGCTGTTGATTACAGTACATACTTACTGCAGCACCCAAGTAGACTGCCATCAGCTCCACTCCCGCTCCATGAGGCCATTCTGAATGTCCCAATCAGCTCCACTCCCGCTCCATGAGGCCGTTCTGAATGTCCCGATCAGCTCCACTCCCGCTCCATGAGGCCATTTTGAATGTCCCACTCGAGATTCATCTGGTTAAAGTACCCCCCGCCTGCTCCGCCTGCATTCATTATCCAATGTAAAAACGTCCCCACCCCATAGTCAAGATGAGGATTCGGCTAGACAAATCCACAAGTTTTGCATGTTTTGCATGACAAATGTGCAACGTGGACTCGTAGTGTAGTGCTGTTTGAGGTACTTAGTTCAGCAGCATCACAGATCCAGTATACCAGGCTGATTGGAGCATGACAAGTTTCAAAACTACGCGAATAAAAGATGCTTGCCATGGGGCTGCGCATGAGAAACATTCTCAGCATGCAGATTTGCACTACAACTATGGGGTGGGGATGTTTTTAGATACGATATTCATCCCCAGAGAGTTCTCTACCTCCCACGCCTCCCCGGTTATTTGGGAACTCGGACTATTGGAATTGCTTCCGAATTGGTTGTTGAACGTATGTCCGTTCATGTTACCGAATCGATTATGCAGCCCGTCAACATTGTTCTCGTAGTCCTCGTCTTCCCCAATTCCAATGATGCTCGTCTCGTGATTCAGCATGGAAATCTCCAAAACCCACTGGTTATTGTGCGACTCGAACTTCAGGCCCTTGATCCGCTCCTGCCAAGTGGTCTGCCACAAGGGGCTGGTGGACGCGTTGGAAGAAGAGATTAGCGACAGCGTGTCGAGCGTTTTCCGCGCTTGGTTCTTCACGGCAAGAGACTTGTGGTTCAGCGCGTCAATGACGTAGGGAATGAGCTGCTGGCTATGCATTTTTGCGAAAGTATCGGTATCGCACTCGTCTAAATCGCATGACAAATTTTTCCAGAAGGAGAATCGGGCTCTGTCATGCTGATTCAGGTAAAATACCTCCAGATCTGTATCTGTAATGCAAGACTGCCATCTATACATACGAGTACGAAGATCATACTTTTGCAATGCATAGTGGTCCTCCTCTAGCAGAAACTCTCGAATCTCGTCCTGCAACGACATGCATTCGAAGGCGAACAGTAAATGGAGGATGATACCTATCGCACGAAAAAAGTGTTTCACTGTAAGGATTTTGCAACTTTTGCATCACAAGTTTGTTCCGCATGACAGAGAAAATTTGCCATGCGGAATTCCTAGGGGAAAACACAGCTACAAATCCATTGTCTTGCATGTGTGGCAAGGCAAATGCTTCTCAGATACATTTTCTGCATTACAAGTTTACAGCGAAACAGTTTTTTCTTGCGATAATATCGTCGTCTTCCTGCTTCTCTACCAGCAATTCGATCAACGTCGACAGCAATTTCGGCTTATCCTGTGCAAAAGTATCGTACTCGTATAAATGCAAGTCTTGCATTACAAATCTTGTTTCCAAGGCAAATCTGCATTACAAATTTTATTTCTCACGCGGAGGAAATTTGTAATGCATTTATACGAGTACGATACTTTTGCAATGCATACGGCTCCAGCGCTAACATATGAACTGCAAAAGTATCGCTATCGCACTCGTATAAATGCATTACAAATTTCCTCAGCATGAAAAATAAAATTTGTAATGCGGGTTTGACTTGAGAAACAAATTTGTAATGCATGATTGCAATACGAGTACGATACTTTTGCAGTTCATATAACAGCTGCGACGCTTCCTCGTTTTGCGCAATCAGTTGGACTACCAATACGGACTCGAGCACGAGGTCGTCCTCCGAGAACCCCACGACGAGGAGTCTGTGTAGCACGTCCACCAACCCGTAGTCGGGCGAGATCAGTTCCGCCCAGGGCACCGGCGGGATCGACGGGTCATTGTTGGGCAGGTCCAAATTCGCAAGTAAGCCGACGACCTCGAGCAAGAGATCCGGGTCTTCCAGTTGTGCAATACAAATTTCCCGTACATGTACAAAATGCATCACAAACTTCGCTAACTTTGAGTGTCAAACTTGTCATGCTGACTAAAGATTGAAGGCAAGTTTTGTCATGCAGAGACAACATTTGTACGTGCACAGGAAATTTGCTGTGGATACCAGTTGTGCGAGTTTCATTATCTCGTGCAGCCACCGAGACATGCGGACCTGGAGATGAACTTGCGAGGATGTTGTTAAACTTAGCAGGTTGATGCAACGAACTATCTGATGATCACGTCCGAACAATGAATGCAGCATGTTGACAAAAGAAATCGCCTTCTTCAAGAATCAGTGTATATTTACCTTATGTATTATACCTGATCACTGCACAGCAATCGCTGTACCAATTCCCTGACCTTCTGGTGCGAGCACACGTAGCGTATTACCTTGCACAGCATGGGGTCGCGCGTTTTCAGCAAGCGTAGGATGAGCTGCGGAAAGAGAAAATCGACCTGCCCGTTGTTGCGGTGGAGCTGGCACACAACCATGAGCTCCGCCGCTCTACTGTGCATTGCAAATTTGTCTGGGTCTGGAAACCTGTGATGCAGGCCAGTGAATACGAAGCTCTCTGTAATGCACCGCGAAGCATGACAGGTTTTTTCGTCGCGCTGCGTTGCGTATTCCGCGCAAGAAAGTGCGCTTTTGCATGACAGGCAAGAGGAGCTCCTGTTTGTGGCCGCGCAACACAGAGTCAAGAGTCATGCCAGACAAGCATGACAAGCTTGCACTCTCACAGACCCAGACATATTTGCAGTCGATATCTACTGTGCAAAGACAAGTTCACCAGCAGGCAGATCAGGTCCTTGCCCACGCGGTTTGGGTCCGGAAAGTGAATGGTGAGTTGCAGCAGCATATGCATTGCAAAAGTGTCGAACTTCTCGTAGTTGTAATAGCATTTGTGCATTACAAGCTCCTCCCTTAAGCTGAATCCGCATCACAAATTTCACTCCTCATGCTGGGCAAATGTGTAATGCAATTTTTTTTTTTTGTTGCGATGCTTTTGCAATTCATACAGCATCAGCATGCAGTCTTGGTGGTAGGTCAGCAGCGATTTGCACCGGTCGTCTTTGGTGAACTGGTAGAGGAGTTTCAGGACAATTTGTCGGAAGGGCGGGTGCTTCAGCAAATCCACCAACTGCTGAAAAAGTTCCCCGGACTCCGCCAGGGCGGACCGGACACTATCCTCAAAACTCAGGTTGAAAAGCACTTTCAGCGAGAGCAACGCGATTATCAACCGCAAACGTGTCTGGGTTTGGAAGGTCACAACTTGTGATGCTGTCTGTGGATTCTAAAAAAATTTGCATTGCATGACCAGCAAGAGGGGGCGGGTTTTTCCTACGCGGAGAGGGCATTTCTCATGCGGTAGAGGCATCACAAAGCCCTCTAAAAATCTGCGACGCTACGGCATGCATCACAGACATCATGGCCCGTGGAAAATATGCATGACAAATCTAGAAATCTTCCAGACCCAGACATTTTTGCACTTGATAGCGATAAAAGCAGACTGATGTTGGGCGAGTTGCACCTGTTTTTGTGTTGATGTTGGCGGCCTATAATATATATACTTTGTCACAATGGAAAGGAATGGGAATCTGAATCGGAGTTATTTCAGCAATAGAATATTAACGGGCCTTGTTCATGATCAGCGTTTACCCTCCGATGCGCTAATATCCGCACGCTTTGACTTTTTGCGTGCCGGCGCATGATTTAGATTCAAGCAGCAACTTTTTTGACTTTTATCATACCAGCCTGGGCACGATCCTCGTTTCTGCCATGACTTCCTTGTTTTCTTCAAAAATTGTCAACTTCTTCAAAATATCCTGTGCAAAAGTATCGTACTCGTATAGATGCATTTCCTCAGCATGAGAAATAAAATTTGTCATGCGGATTTACTTTAGGAAAAAAATTTGTAATGCATTGATTGCAATACGAGTACGATACTTTTGCACAGAATACAAAAACAGCAGGGCGACGTAGAGCAGCTCTTCCATGTTTCGGTCTAACAAGGCACACAACATTTTCACGAGTCCCCGATTCACCATCTTCTTCTCGATGAAAATATCCTCTGCTATATCGCAAGAAAAAACTGTTATTTCACTGTAATGCAGAAAATGTATCTGAAAAGTGTTTGTCTTGCCACATATGCAAGACGAAGGATCTTTAGCTTTGCTTTCATCCCTTAGGAATCTCGCATGGCAAATTTTCGCTGTGATGTAGAGCAAATTTGTGATGCAAAACTTGCAAAATCCTCACAGTGAAACACTTTTTCCGAACGATATGCTAAATTCAGCAAGATGTGCAGCGCAGTGTGGAGGAGTTTGTTCTGTTTCAATACTTGTACCTGGTATTTCTTCTCTTCCTTTTCCGCTTTCACTTTTTGCTGCGAGAAAGAAGTGCTAGCATCTTGCTGCTGGTTGTGGGAGTGTCAGGATTGAAATCGTCGAAGTTGAAATAGTTTGCGATGCATAAAATGCTAGACGCAAAGTGCCTGTCTTGCAGAACAGGCAACTGAGGCCGATTATAAGCCTGTTTGGGGTGTGAGATAGAGCTGCCAAAATAGCATGACAAAAGCAGTCCTCTCTGCTCAAACAGCACGACAAATTGGATTTCTATGCTGCCAAAATTTGTCATGCGCCACTTGCAAACTGGGCTCCAGCTGGTATCGCTTTGTTGCATTTGCAGACTATTTCAACTTTGAGGATTTCGATCCTGACACTCCCATACTGGTGGTCTACTCCACCGGGTGGAACATTTTGGCCGGTGTTCAAAAACGGCAGGATGTATTGTTCCCGCTCCTGCGTTGTCCTTTGCAAAAGTATCGTACTCGTATCGTATTGCTATCATGCATTACAAATCTTTTTGCTATAGGTAAATCCCCATTACAAATTTTATTTCTCATGCTGAGGGAATTTGTCATGCATTTATATATACGAGTACGATACTTTTGCAATGCATATGCGTCCGGATTGCGTATCTTTTCGATTCGTACTCCAATATCCTGAGACTCGAGTCCCCGCATTGGAAGTTCTATGGATTCCAAAAGTATCGCACTACTCGTATAAATGCATTACAAATTTCCTCAGCATGAGAAATAAAATTTGTAATGGAGATTTGCCTTGGGAACAAGATTTGTAATGCATGATTGCAATTACTACGAGTACGATACTTTTGCACAGGGTAAGTTCCCGAGCACTTGGTGAAACACCGGAAACGCGGAGAAGCACAGTATGAACTGCAAAAGTATCGCACTCGTAGTAATTGCATTTATGCATTACAAACCCGGCTCCCAAGGCCAATCAGCATGACAAATTCCATTTGTCATGCTGAGCGAATTTGTATTGCAATCACAACTACCAGTACGGTACTTTTGCAATGCGTACACAGGAAGATGCAGCAAATCGCGGTGGACAGATCGTGCGATTTTTTGTAGTTCTCCTTCAGTTCTCGCGACAAAATCGGCATCAAAGACTCGTTATCAAATGCAAAAATGTCTGGGTCTGGAAACTTGTAATGCTAAAAATGAATGATAGACGCGCCGCAATACGCAGCTATGGATGACAAATTTTGTGGCTGCCATGTCTTACGTATTCCGCATGGCAAACTGCCTTTTCGCATGACAGTTAAGAGGGCTCTTTCGTGCCTATGCAACACAGATTCTCGAGTCATGCCAGACAAGCATGACAAACTTGCGTCCTTCAAACCCAGACACTTTTGCAATTGCTACTCGTGGTTCGAGATCAATTCCAAATTTCGTGGCTCCAAGCACACCCGGAGGATGGACTTCGCGCCCTTCACCTTCAGTGGCAGTTGTTCTTCGTAGAGCAAGTCCGAGTAGTCGTCCAGTTCCGCCCAACTGGCCGGGGTATCAAGGTGAAAAATGCCCCCACCCCCGAACTTGGGAGCATTTGTATTGCAAACCTTTCCAAATGAAACACTCGCCCTCTTGCATCTATCAGCATCACGGATTTGTTCCAATCGTGAACAATAGCAAAGATTTGCATTGCAAAAGACGCCAGCAAGAGTGGCGCTTGTCATGCAAGCGATGCGATACACGCCTCGAATCTGCATCAGAAAGATTCATTTTCATACTTCTTTCATGCATGACAAAAAGTTTTCATTTGGAAACTTCGCATCACAAGTTTTTGCGACTTTGGGGGTGGGGGCATTTTTCACTATAATACGGGGGCAGGATGGTTTCCAGCACGGAAAGCACCGGCGGGGGTGGGATTGGCCCCGACGGCATCATGTTCTGCTGCTGCATTTGCGCGTTCTTCTGCTGCAGCATCGACCTGACATCTCCTCGGTCTGCGGTGCGACTACGGCTGCTGCTCGGGCGCGCCGCGTTTGGATTCGTTGCCGTGGAAGAAGATGTCGGCCCGGTGCCTATCCTGTGTAAAAACGTCCCCACCCCATAGTCAAGGTGGGGATTTTGCAACACAAACCTAGAAGTTTTGGGACTCACGCATCACAAATAGCAGTCCGTAGTGTAGTGCCGATTAGCAAGGACACACGCATCACAAATCCATCTGCTTATCCTGGTTACAGCATTACAAATGCCAAAACACGACTAGAAACGCCTCTCATGGAGATACGCATTACAAATGTTCCTGTCATTGCAAATCTGCATCACAACTCTGGTGTGGGGACGTTTTTACAAATGATAGTGCCGGGGTAAACGCCTGAAACAGCTCCAGCACTCTGTCCGCCACCGCCTCCGGTCGTTTCTCGGGCCATTTCGTGCAGTAGTCTTTCCACCTCGTTGACTTTCGAACTGGGGATGTATTTGCATTTTTCCACTACCTCCGCCGCCAGGTCGGTTATATCTGCTTCGGCAAAATCCCGTGGCAGGCGCATTTTCTTTTTCTTGATCTCTCCGCCGGACTCGTAGACTGCAACGATCGCGTACTCCTCATAGTCGATTTGCAGGTCCTTCAACCGCTTTTTCGAAGAGCTACTGGAAGATGTCATGGTCCGTCGTGTGATGGATCTTCCAAGAACCGGATAATTGATTCCTCCCGCCGAGCTGCAGTACCGCTAGCGCCTGTCGAGACGGTAAGTACTTCTACAGCAGCTCCTTTGTAGTGAATACGCGCTGGCCGACGTGTAAGAACTAATTCTTGCGTCGCGCGGCTCCGTCTGAACGCCTTGCCGTCTTCATTCGCCCGGAAGATGAAGAACCAGCGACGGCACGTCTACTACTTCCAGCCGAATTTCCTAGAAAAAACATGCACTTATACAAAACTGGTCGTCCCACTCTATTGTCACTCTTCTGCCGCTCTCGGCTGCTCTCCGAGAATCATACTTAGCTGAAAAAGAACGGCAACTCAACAAAACTCGCGAAAGAAGTATGACCACCTCTTACGAGCACGCTCAGGACCAGACCGGAGGTGATACAAGGGTGCAGCTCTCAACCAACATGGTACGCAGAAAAAAAAAGAAACCAAAGTAGCCTACACACGTATAATCACACGTGCGGTACACCGAGATGAAGCGCCTGCGCACTCAAGAAACTACACAGCCTGCGCGTGAGGAGGACGGCTGCAGCTCCCGCACCAGCTCCTGAGTGTGAGAAGTTGTATTCTTGAATCGATGAGCGTGAGAGTCGTACAACCAGTTTGCCAAAAATAACCTTTCGTTCTGTAGCTGCAATAGTGTCAGAAGTACTAGCAGGTTCAGTGTGCCGCGAATTTTTGCACCGTTCGTGTTCGTATGTTGAATCTTCCCGCCAACAGAGATTTGGATTTCTTTTGGCGTACAAGTCGCTTGCCGTAACAAGCGCGTCCTGCCGTGACTAATACAGAAAGCAAAGGAGTACTGTGGCACCGTAAACGTGATTTATTTTTGAGAAATAGTCTTCCATAGGGTTCAAAATTAGTAGGACATTGCACAACTCAGCTGGTCTTCAATTCTAATTTTTCAGGGGCGTAGAAATTGGTAATGCTTGTTGTTTTTGAAAGAAAGCTCTTGAATTGGATCTGAAAATGTAACAAAATTTTTCCGATAATGTAAATGTATGAAGTGAGAAGCACTACGTCAATAGCAAAATGTGTAAAGCGTAAACGTAAAGTTGTGAACAATTAAATTGTACACGTCAATGACTGAAGATAGCACAAAACAAAGTTATACGAGAGTTCGATGTTTACAAAAAAAAATACTTTAAACGACAGTTTGTTTTTGCACGACCCTAAATAACCACCACATGATTTTTTCATTCCTTTTTCAACCGCCTCTGTGTAAGAAATTTTGTCGATCTTATTTCAACTCAAATCACAGTCATGTTGCGAAATGATATCACTTCCCCAGAACTTTTCGCACCTCCGCTCCGCCTCGTTCCACCTCATCTTGTTCCAAAACACCATCTTCATCCCCGCAGATAAAAGAAAAATCTTTCACGCGGAAATGAAAAGGTGAATAAAACTCCACATCGTCCCCCACCGCGTTTTTAAAACGGCTTCTGCAGCGCGTCAACGATGCCGCTGGCCGCTTGCATGACGCGGGCCTGGGTGGCCTCGTATGAATTACAAAAGTATCGTACTCCTCGTATAAGCGCATTACAAATTTTCTCAGCATCAGAAATAAAATTTGTCATGCGGATTTACCTTGAGAAAAAAAGTGTAATGCACGATTGCAATATGAGTACGATACTTTTGTACAGGATACCTCGTGCGTCCGAGCGAACTCTTCCTGCTGCTTCTGAATGAAGGCAGAGGCCTCCGCTTCGGCCGCAGCCTCCAGCTGCTCCGGAGTCAGCAGTTCGCCCGTGATCCGGTCGGCAATGGAGATCTCGGCCTCACCCTCGGCCGTGATGGTGGTCTTCTGCAGAAAGGTATGCAAGAAAAAAACTATGTGAGTGTAAGTCTGTGATGCTGAAAATGCAAAGCTGTATACACGTGTCATGCTGGATGTGCGTGGTCGTAGACTACTTTCATACGTGTTTTCACATGCTAGCTGCGCATCACAGGTTTTCCCTGTAATGCAAAACGAATTTGTGATGCTGCCCTTTCTACAAGGTTACACTGACACAGTTTTTTTCCTGGATAAAAGGCGCTGGCACCTCCGGCCCGGGCGGCGGCCTGCGCATTGGCATTCATCCGGCCCCCGCCGCGGCCAGACGCTGCGGCATGCGCATTCGCGTTGGCCGCAGCAACAGCCTCGTCGTCGCCGTCCCCAGCCGGGATGGTGTTCACACCACCCTGCGACAGGATGCCGACTTTCACCCGTTCGTTGACTTGGTCGTAGTTTCCACGCATGTCCTATCCTGAGCAAAAACGTCCCCGCCACCCCAGAATCAATTGTCATGCAAATCTGCATGCAAAAAAAGTTTCTCATGCGGGAGCTTCGCAATCGCATGAGAATCGTTCTCAAGTCGTGTTTTGAAGTCTGTGATGCTAGAATCAGCACGATATGCTAGATCAGTGATGCTGCTGGACTAGCTCAACAGGATTACATTCACCGAGGACAAACTTGTCATGCGAAACAGCCAAAGCTGGCTGATTTGTCTAGTAGATTTCCTATCTTGACTATGGGGTGGGGAGGTTTTTGCTCAGGATATGTCCGCGTTCTTCATGACCTGCTCGGCGGTTTCGGCTTGCATCTTCATGGCGACAGCCGTTTGCTTATGCATTGCAAATATGTCTGGGTCTGAAAGGATGCAAGGTTTGTCATGCTTGGCCGGCATGACTCTTAGCTCTGTGATGCATGAGCAGGAAAAGAGCCCCGTGGGTGTTATGCAAAAACGCAGTTTGTCATGCGCAAAGCGAAAGACATAGCAGCTCAAAAACTTGTCATGCTTGGCCACGTATTGCAGTCGTGCATCCACTATTCACTGCTTTGCATGACAACTTTCCAGACCCAGACATTACATTTGCAATGCATATTGCTTCGCCATCAGGTCCAGCAGCGCGGCGTAGTTGTGGTACTGCTCGGATCAAAGTGAAAAAAGCCCCCACCCCATATCGGAAACGGAAGATGCGCGAATTTGTGATGCTGTATTTGAGTACACAAATCGACTTGTATTGCTAGAAGGCCAAGCGACGAAGCTGCGGCCTAAATTGCAGGCAGTCTGTCATGCTGTTCCCCACTTCCAGTTGCCTCCTGCCATCCTGGAGCTGCAAGGCTTTCCCACGCTAGGCAGCACTACAGTCCACCGCATCTTCTGGCTCTGCCTTCTAGCATCACAAGGCTGATTTGTGACCACAAATCTGCATCACAGATTTTGATTTCCTTTTTGATATGGGGAGGGGGCATTTTTCATTGCCATAGCTCCGCCGTTTGCTGCAGCACCACCGCCTCACTGCGAAGGCTGTTTTTTTTATTGGTGAAGAAGCAAAATTTCTTCTGATAGGTACCAGCGCGATTTTGCATAATTGCACTTTTCCTTTTTCTTCATCTACATTTTCTACCAAAACGAATGAATTCAACTGATTCAGATGATGGCGATCATCCCTGGCCCTGCTTGCAGACGCACAGAGAAGCTGCAGAGTCTTATTCTTAGTATAGTAAGTACTCATATTTTATTCTTCTTTTGCACATTATGTATGAAACCAAACGAAACACTGAAATTTTATGGGAAAAAAAAGTACATTTTGGCGGACATGACAATTTTTTTGTGCATGGCTTGCAGGTTCTTCGCTTGCAGGTGGTTCATCTTGGCCACCTTTTCCATCTGTATCCCGCGTAAAAACTACGTCCCCACTCCAAGTCCAAAGTTCTTGGAATGCAAATCTGCATGCTCAAAATGTTGTTTCATCTCATGCGGAGGTGTAGACCCATGATGCGACGCACTTCCTAGTGCCGTTTTGATAAATTTGCGATGCTCGCAGCCGAGTGCTGGTGTGCTAGATCTGCATATGTGATGCTGCTGCACTAGCTAAAGTTATCAAGACGACTACATTGCGACGTCGCGCCCAAGTAGTTTGTCATGCGCAACAACCAAAGCTCGTTGATTTAGATTTTTCTAGCAGATTTTCCATCTTGACAACTGCAACGCGAAGGAGGAAATGGGGACGTTTTTACTCCAGATAATCAGCTTGGCCGCATCGTCCCCCATGGCAGGGAGCTTCTTGCCTTTGCCGACGGGCGCGCCGGCGCTGGCGGACGCGGAAACCTCGACCTCGGTGTCATCGTCGCAACAAGAAGAAGAACTGGCGAAGGAGCCATCGTTTTCCGAGGAATACGAAGCACTCGATTCGGCCGACGAATCGGATTTCGTCTCCTGCTTGGTCGCCTCCTTGGCCAGGAAAGAGGTCGAGGAGGGAACCGCCGCCGCACCAGCAGTGCCCTCGGTTTTGAACGCCGAGGCTTCGCCCGAGGTCAGGCAAAAGTTGGTGGAGACGAGGAGCTTCGCTCCGGCCAGGACCTTGGCTTTGTACAACATGATAAACGATGATGTAGTTCTGCTGGCTTTTCTTCTGCTGCTTGGTGTTTGTTTCTCGTTGTAAGTAGCTTCAAAAAGAACCTCGAGTCGCGTCGTGGTCGATTTTTGATTCGAGCGTGAAAGTTGTGACTGGTTTTTAAACTTCTCGATCGTGAAATTTGTTCTTTCGCCGATTGTAGCTGTTGTGTTTTAGGTTCGTATGTCGTATTCGTACTTATGTTTTGATGATAGATAGGGGTAAACAGAGAAAGAGATGCTGCTGGAGGAGGAGAGTAGATTTATTGTTCAGAAGATGAACCACAAGAAGCATCAGTTTCAAGTACAGCCGAATAATATTGGCATCAAACTAAACCGAGAGCTACCAGCACCTGCACTAGTAGTGCTGAATACTAGCACAATTTCGACCGACGAAACATCAGCCGAGGCTGTGCCAATTTGGCTCTGCTGCGTACGATGAAACAAGGCACTGGCGCACGATGTTGCTGCTCACAGACACAACTTCTGTATGAACAACGCCGGAACCGATTTATGTAGAGCAGGACGATTCAAACAGTTTCTTCGTTGCACGATTTCGCGGCCGCTCCAGCGGTATTGCTGAACGATAACGACGAGAATTTGTTCGTTTACGATATTTTTTGCGCACGATGAAACCGAGATGTTGCCAATACGACAAGCGCTAATGGGACGACCGACCATGGAAGTGTCTGTGAAGAGTGCAAGTAGGACCGATTTTTTCTCGAGGTTGCGAACCGACGCAAACGTAAGTAGCCTCAGAAACAAAAATATGTTCCTAGTTTGTAGGTGCTTTGTAGAAGTTGCCTAATATTACTATGTCATTCTAGTAAGTACTACTTCAAAGCGCTCACATCGACTGAACTCGTCCTGCTTGCTCTTGCAGGAGGTTGTCAACAAGTATAAAGTTGTGACGCGCAAAATCATTCTCGCTGCGCAGTTGGCACCGCCGGCTGGATATTCGTATTCCTTTTTTCGCTAGATATTCCTCAAACTCAGTTGCGGATTGGATACTGCTTCTCAGATGGAAGACATTCGAATTTCTCTTTGAGGCGGCGTTATGATCGTGACTTTCACCAGAAAAAAGTTCTTCGAACCATGCGTCTAGAAGTGCGACTGGCAAAAACATCTTGTCACCGTCAAGGACAAGAGCACTAGTAGAGAAGTCGGAGCTGCTCGACGTCTTGCTCCCAACAAGAGCATTCCGGGTGATCAGTCCTGGTGTTGGGTTTCTCAATTGCACTATGTTTCGCACACTATCCTGCACATCCTTCACCATGGCCTGAAGGTTCTGGCTCTTCTGCAGCTGAAAGGAGGTAGTTGATGTTGTAGAGCGAGACGTCTGATTTCGATGAGAATTTGCTGGAACTAAATCTAGTTCCGTCAGATCCCTTGTCAGTGCCGCGGAGGGAAACAGGGTGAGGGAAGAGAAGGAATCGAGCAGGTAGCAGGACGCAGCTTCCGTAGAGGACTTTTGTGATTGTACTCTACTTCCCAACCGCTTGCTGATGCTGGCCTCGTATTCATCTTGGTGGCTGTAGTTATTCCCATGATGATCTGGTAACCAAATGCGTGCGCGCGCGCGCGCAGAGCGCGCGCCGGCCCACGAAGCCGGCGCGCGCGCTCTGCGCGCTTGCGATATTGCTTAGCAAACGCAGCGCGAAGGCAGTTGCCGTTACCATATA